TTCCACCCTGTGATCTTCAAAGAAACACACGTTTAGATCACACAGATTTTTCTACGAAGATTAATGCAGGGCCTCCACTTGCACCAAGGCCATACTTTTAGAGAACGTTCCTGGAAGCCCATAAGCTGGATTAACCTAACATGAACCTTTTGTAGCAGGCAAGCACACTACTAATGACTCAGGGTTGTCAGAAAGTTTTGAAGTAGACGGCTGAGTTGTCAAAGTAAGCAGCCAGTCCAGGGATATTTTATTCAAAAAACGCCATCCGTAAAGAAATGTCAAGCAGAGTAGCTGGCCAATACTAACCAAGTAGGCGGCGATTTTTGTCAGTAGCCGGCTACTTCTGACAACCCTGCTAGCGTTAATCTTAAGCTACATTTACATGTACCTATGTACAATAAATGAGAATGGCATTGTTCTATAAGCACTATTAAAGGGAAAGTAATGTTTGAACAGAATTCTAGAATTACCTCGTCCTTTGCCTATAAACTTCTCCTGATTTTCACAGTTCCAAGGAAATATTTTATTTTGGTTCTTGATGTCTTCACTACAGAAAAAAAAAATAAGTTCAAGATTTAAAATCTTGTTCACTGTCAAGTGAGAAAGGGATTAAAACATACATTTTATGAAGTCTGGGCAGTACATGTATGTTTACAAAATAATGATGTATAGTGGTAACTAAAGGTTACAGAGTGTGGGCAACAACGATCGAAGGTCAAAACGCTTTTGCTCGAACGTTGTGCTTTGCATAAGTTTCACGTGACAGATGGTTAAAACACGCGTGATCAGAATACGAGTGATAGAAGGTCCAAATGTGCATGATCAAATTGCGTTATGTGCTTTCTATTCATTCTTAGTGGAAGTGCAAATGAATGCTGGCTACATGCATGCGACGCATGCATAATAACAACCTTGAGATTGGGATTCCAGGCTCCTCTTGTTGCCCACAAAAACCACTGAGTTATACATCAGGGACACCCAACGAGAATATAGTTCAAAACCACTTAAACATGGCATTGTCAAATTTATTTTAGTATTTAAACGGTAGATATAGGCATATTTTATCCCCCCAAAATTTTTTATCTGTTCGGATTTCCTAGCTGAAAGTCTAGTGATCCGAAAATTATAGGGATCCAAACTTACCTTTTCGAAAATTCCAGCCAGAAAAAAGGCTCCGAAAATTCTACCTTACCTTTTTAGGGTAAGAATCCGTTAAAAATGGGCAATTATATCATTTTTTGGATGTTCCAAAATCCTAGGAGAGGCAGGCAAGCAAGAAATTTTACAACAAATGTTCAGGAAATTCTAGATCTCAAATCGTCTTCTGAACAGATATTTTCCAAAAATTGACGGTTGGGTGCCCCTGATAAATGTATGTGCACATAGTAAGTTCATGTCAACTTCTGTGTTTAGTGAAATAATGTTACAGTGTTTGTATAGCCTGCATGCACATGTTTCCTTTATTGCCTTTATTGCTCGAGTACAACAAAGGAAATAGAATATGTCTGTGTGCAGGCTATTTCTCATGAGATAAAGACATTTCATGAACCTACTATGAATCCTCAATAAGAAAGCGAACGGTCAAAATTGCTTTTGGTGATGTAGTTTCANTTGCTCGAACGTTGTGCTTTGCATAAGTTTCACGTGACAGATGGTTAAAACACGCGTGATCAGAATACGAGTGATAGAAGGTCCAAATGTGCATGATCAAATTGCGTTATGTGCTTTCTATTCATTCTTAGTGGAAGTGCAAATGAATGCTGGCTACATGCATGCGACGCATGCATAATAACAACCTTGAGATTGGGATTCCAGGCTCCTCTTGTTGCCCACAAAAACCACTGAGTTATACATCAGGGACACCCAACGAGAATATAGTTCAAAACCACTTAAACATGGCATTGTCAAATTTATTTTAGTATTTAAACGGTAGATATAGGCATATTTTATCCCCCCAAAATTTTTTATCTGTTCGGATTTCCTAGCTGAAAGTCTAGTGATCCGAAAATTATAGGGATCCAAACTTACCTTTTCGAAAATTCCAGCCAGAAAAAAGGCTCCGAAAATTCTACCTTACCTTTTTAGGGTAAGAATCCGTTAAAAATGGGCAATTATATCATTTTTTGGATGTTCCAAAATCCTAGGAGAGGCAGGCAAGCAAGAAATTTTACAACAAATGTTCAGGAAATTCTAGATCTCAAATCGTCTTCTGAACAGATATTTTCCAAAAATTGACGGTTGGGTGCCCCTGATAAATGTATGTGCACATAGTAAGTTCATGTCAACTTCTGTGTTTAGTGAAATAATGTTACAGTGTTTGTATAGCCTGCATGCACATGTTTCCTTTATTGCCTTTATTGCTCGAGTACAACAAAGGAAATAGAATATGTCTGTGTGCAGGCTATTTCTCATGAGATAAAGACATTTCATGAACCTACTATGAATCCTCAATAAGAAAGCGAACGGTCAAAATTGCTTTTGGTGATGTAGTTTCATCTGCTATGTTCCTTTCCACAACCTTAAGCAACATTACAAAAACAAAAAACATTAATGGAGATCAACTGCAGATGTGTGGCTAGCTAGATAGATAGAGTAAATAGGCCACTGAACTGCTCATCCCAGAAGTCTTTAATCCAAGTCCTGCTTTCACAAAATAATAACTAACCTTGAGTTTGTTTCGCAGTAGATAAAAAGTAATTTCTCACCCACATGTAGCAAATAGAGAACTGGGTACCCTGGCCTACATACAGTACAGGGCCTAAATGTATACTGAATTTTGGGTCAATTTACTCTTTGGCTAATTGAATTCATTCAATTTTTTACTTTGATTCTCATTTATGTGTAGAAACCCCAATGAGCTTTCTTCTGCTAGTTTTGCAGCCTTATGTCCCAGCTGGGACAAAGAGGATGAGCGAGAGTCAGTTTGTTCTCTAGTTTTGGTTCTATCTTGGAGAAAAACAAGGTCACAAAGTTGGTTCAGTATTGTTTGTAAAAGACGGTAAATATACAAATATGATTGTAGTGTTCAGTGTTCATTTCACAGTCTAGAGAGACAAAAGTTATTTGCTTTTCTCTGATTTACAACTTACACAGACTCTTTGGTTGTTTTGCCAATGAGTTGTTTCACTAACATCCTGTTCACTAACGTCTTAAGTCGTTTTTTGTGTTAGGTCAATTCACTAGCGTTGTATATGACAATTCACTAACATCTTTGCAAACATTGTATTAAACATTTTGTTAGTCAGTTCTTGGAAATAATAAAATTTCCTCTAGGGAATAAGATTCATCTTTGATAAGAATTAGATCCTGAATGATAATAGATAGCACCTAGAGCAGGAATTGATAGGCGCTATATAAATGTTAATGTTATATTTTTAAAACAATGTTTACTCACGGCTTTATTATTGGTGCTACAACACGGCATTTGCATTGTTAAGAATAAACAATGAGGTTTTGCTCCCGTTGGCTTTCACAAAATAATCAGTGTTATCGAAACAATTTAGCACACAGGAAGTTACCAAAATGACTCATTGGCAAACTGGATTTTCTACAGTACGAGACACTAACTCAAGCAAAAAAATCCTTCAAGGTCGCACACAAACATCCAGGCAATAGCTGCACATCTGTATACCCATCTGCAGCTGCATAGCCGTTAATTTTTGCTGGACATCAAAATAATAATAAAGCTTATAATCGTGCAGAAGGTATTGTCTTTCCCTTTGTAGTCTGATCTCGATTTGTTCTATTGCTTTTGGTGTGGTTTAAAAATGCCTGCATATTAATATTACACTTGTGTAAGATCTTAAGTATATTTCTTCCTTGGTTTTTGAATTAGTTTGACCTTAGACTTTCAGAAAATAATCCAAACATAGGTTATTCCTTCATAAACAAAGAACCCAAGCGTCAACAAACTGATTCCATTTTCATTCACGCATGTAAGCTTATAGTTGCAACCTCAATTTGTTGTCTTCTCAACGCTAAATTAATGTGATGCTCAAAACTGAACCTCCTGTCAGTTCTTATTGGCTTCCCTTTTAGGGATAAGCTATATAGAACCCAAACGACAACAAACTGATTCCAACTTCGTTCACGCGTGTAAGCTTACAGTTGCAACCTCAATTTGTTGTCTTCTCGACGCTAAATTAATGTGATGTTCAAAACTGAACCTCCAGTCAGTTCTTATTGGCTTCCCTTTTAGGGATAACCTATATAGAACCCAAACGACAACAAACTGATTCCAACTTCGTTCATGCGTGTAAGCTTACAGTTGCAACCTCAATTTGTTGTCTTCTCGACGCTAAATTAATGTGATGCTCAAAACTGAACCTCCTGTCAGTTCTTATTGGCTTCCCTTTTAGGGATAACCTATATAGAACCCAAACGACAACAAACTGATTCCAACTTCGTTCATGCGTGTAAGCTTACAGTTGCAACCTCCATTTGTTGTCTTCTCGACGCTAAATTAATGTGATGCTCGAAACTGAACCTCCTGTCAGTTCTTATTGGCTTCCCTTTTAGGGATAAGCTAACAAAATTTGGGACACGGGATAGTTATGACAAATCTACGAGCGTGACATAATCTGCTGTACTTTGTGTGAGAGCTTTGGATGGAAGATTCCCTTCTTGTCACAGGACGATATATGTATCTGTACAGACAGACAAAGAATTTACAGATCTTCAAACTTACCTGGCCAGGCCAGAAAATGTCTCTCTTGGCACTGGCCCAAACTACTGAATCCACATTTAACTGATCCATAAGGATGAAAGAGAAGAAAATAGAATGTAACCAAAGTCAAGCTGCCCTCGAGTTCATTTCACTTCAAAGATCGTCCCGACGCGCGAAGAACTCTTTTACTTTCACTAACCAATCAATTCGCTAGTTCCAGGTGCTCGCGCGATCAGATAACGCCTGGAAACATTTTTCTCCTTGAGAAAAATTTGAATGAAGTCAGAAATTGTTTGAAGTTCACGGGATAAAATAATTGTGTTATAAGAATCAAATGCCTTGTATTCGTATCAAAGAAGTTTATCAGACTACCAAGCATGTTATTGAAGGGATTGAACTAAACTGCAGAGTGGAAGAATTAAAGAAAATCGCCGCAGAGAAAACCAATATACCAGTTGAGGACCAGAGTACGGTTTGCATTGCACGTTTTTGGTTTTGTTTTCTTAAACTTAAGCTGTACTCAGTATATCAAGTTTATTTTTGATATATAATAATATGAAATTAATTCCATAGCGGAGGGATTTTTTTCTGATTCTGTCCAAAGGCTCATGAATATTATAGGCAACCTAGCTAGACCTGTGAATCAAAGAAACTTAACCTTACATACATAAGCTTAGGAATTTTCATACAAACATACATAACCTTTCCTCGAATTTACGAGTAGCCTTAACCGTTAATATTTCCTAGGAAACAACAACGAAAAGAAAACGTGAATAGTAACTGACTTACTGACCTGACTGTCTCTTAGAAATTGTCATTTCTATAATGCCTCATTTACCTAACTTCTTCGTCGTTGACATGCATTTAACTGTAACTGTCCTATGAAAAAGAATCTGTTAGTAGATCTGAATCTAATTACTTTTCATACTTATTTTACGGTTCATGAAGAGAAAACAAAAGAGGTCACTATCAAAAATACTACTTTGAGTCTCAGAGTAAAACCGTGTCTGGCCCTCACTGTGTGCACTTAGGTCCTATGCAAGTTATATTAGTAAATTTGTTTTGTGGAGATGATGTGAACTGTGCAGTTCCGCAGTTCACATCATCTTCATGTTTCAATCCTTTCATGGGTTAAGATGAGCTCAACAAATTTGTCTGTTCCAGCCAATGTAGGAGTCTACATATAGAGCATTGCAGCACTAGTCTGGAAGAGGGGTGGGGTGCTGATCCTGCATTGCTGCTACTTTTTCAGGTTAATAATCCCGTATCCCGCACTTGTTTTCATTGCTTTCCTGAAGAATGTGTACTTGAAACATCACAATTTCCTGTATTCCCAATAGACAGGGATAAAAAGTCCCGCATCCCATGCCCAATTATTAGTGAATCCCACTTCCCGGGTAGCAGTCAAATTCCAATTCCTGCCAAGATATTTAGCATTTTACCAAATCCCTCACCTTATTTTGGTCAAATCCCGGATCCCGAAAATACCCTTCCAGACCCTGTGCAAATGCATCTGAGCTGATGAAAACTGGACTGTGTTCATATTTCAGATTGTATATTTGCTGGAGAACTACTACAGGATGACAAAACTCTAGCCTCCTATGGAATCCAAGATGGATTTACTGTATATGTTGTGAAGAAATGGCCTGATCCAGAACTGTTAGGTATTAAAGACCTTTTGGATGAAGTAAGGTTTCTGAGAAACTGACCGCCCACCCCTCCCCTAAGTCAACATTATCACTTACTTCCCACTTAGGGCGAACTGTTGGCCTAGGTGAGGGGTAGGTGGGCAGTATCCCAGAACCCTAAATTGATCCAATCTTTTTTAGTAAATTATGAATACAGTGGAACCTCACCCTCAGGACCAAGGCAAGTGTCCCATGAATGGAGGATGGGCTGGGGTTTGTTAATAACCAACAAATACAATATTCTTCTTTTATTCTGCCTCAGAATCTTCTACAGCTACTATTTCAAGCAGCTCAATAATACATATAAAAAATCATGATTAACTTATCTTTGGATATAATTTGTGTGTTGAATTCCCACAAGAACAGTCCATCAATAATTATTTAAGTGAGATAGTTCATGTTGTGAAAGCTGTCCTCATTGTGACTAGTGAACACTTTAACTTATCAACCCTTTTTGTGGTCAGTCACTTTTTTTGTGTCCCTTTCCCCTGAATAGAGGTAACTCTTCAGTAGAGGTAACAGATACCAAGATTATGAGGACATTTTTCCTGAACCAAATTATGTGTGCCATAAATGGGTGTGTCCCTTGAATAGAGGTGTCTCAAGGGAGAGGTTCCACTGTATACCAGCTGCTGTCTGTTTTTGGGCTTTAAAATATAAAACCCTGCTAATTCTTTCTATTTATGAATATTAGATCAAGATCCTGATGATGTCCCTATTGCTGAGGTGATGCCGATACTGGAGGCGGCAATAAAAAGTAATTCGTATAGAAATACTGTAAGTTGATAGTTAACCCTTTCACCCTCAAAACTGTAGCCGACGTCAAATTCAACAAAATTTCCAAATTTCATTTTAAAAGTTTGCAAAACACTGGGAAATAAAATTAAAAGTAGAGCTGTATCGCATACTGTTCAAGAGAGGTTTGCAAACACCTGTTTTCATGTTTTTCTGATTATATTTCTAATGTCAATCTTACATATGATAATCATACATGCACATTAATATCCTTTATGTATTGCTTTCAATAAGGGATGCATGGATGGAAAAACAGTAAGTGACCTCTTACCCAATAGCTACTAGATTCAACTTCCAAACTGCCTTGTATTTGCTTATAAACAAAAAGAGAATTTGTGATTTCATCAAAAATCACTTGTGACCATGTCTTGTTCCACCAACCCCTTTTGTCAATGACATACCTGTATCTTTTAACAAAAACGCAATATTAAATGTGTTGCTTTTCATAACTTTACATAACTATTCTTTTAAGGTATCCAAAATTCTTACCAACCCAGACATGTTGGAACAATTGATTGTGACAACGCCCGGACTGTCAGCAGATCCTGTTGCTATGAGTGAGTAACCTGAGCTGATCAAGAGAGTTCTTCTTTAGGCATTTTCACACAAAGTATTTGCTGTAGAGTTGGGAAGTGACATAAGGAGAAAATAGATGCTTTTCAACAGACAGACATTTACATGCATGATTTATATAAGAGCTCTGTGTCTATTTTCCTCTTAGCCCTTCTTCAAGATCCTGAGCTTCTTGAGCAACTTGTGGAAACAGCAAATGTTGAAACGTAAGTAGCGTAACCTGCTGCATAATTACACAAACATTATCTTCGCGAAATATTGTCCAGTTAAAATTACATATGATGGAAAGTATCATGGATATGCATGGATATGACAATTTCACTTTAGTATCTGAATTTATTCTGTATTTCATTGTATGTGTTACAGGTCAAAATTATATTCAGGTGAAAATTTTTCAACTTTGCTTGTCCTTGGTTGATTCTCAATTTCCTTCATCTCCTAGCCCTACTTATTTATCAGCCATACAAACATTTACAGAAAATAATAGTTACTCTATTTTTTGGACACACCTGATCTTTAATTCTGGGGGACACCATGAATTGAGTGGTTAAGACCAAATTTCACAGTCTTATTTTTCTGTAACCTGATTGGTTTTAAGCCCTCATGCACATGCAGCTGCCAGGCAAAGTACCAATTCACAGGGTTTTTCACAGGTTCTGACCCTGCAAAAAATGCCCTGTTCACAAGTTTTGAGATTTTCTACCCTATACTTGTTTAGATTTCTTCTTGAATGCACATGCTCCAATACGGATGACATGGCATTATATAGTATAGTATTATTGTTGCAACCTGAATTACATGCTGCCACAGTAAGGATGTGCGAAAAATGGTTGTGGAGAGGTCCTTGGTTTATGGGTGGGGATATCTATCTTAGACAGATTTCATTAAAACACATTTATACTAATGAGAGGTTTGCATTCTTATTAATTTCAGAGTCATTCAAGAGCATCCCAGCCTGATACAAGCAGCCTCATACATTGCTGCGGCAATTGCCAAGGAATGTGGGGAACGCCCTCCAAGTAGACGGAACCANTGCTTTTCAACAGACAGACATTTACATGCATGATTTATATAAGAGCTCTGTGTCTATTTTCCTCTTAGCCCTTCTTCAAGATCCTGAGCTTCTTGAGCAACTTGTGGAAACAGCAAATGTTGAAACGTAAGTAGGGTAACCTGCTGCATAATTACACAAACATTATCTTCACGAAATATTGTCCAGTTAAAATTACATATGATGGAAAGTATCATGGATATGACAATTTCACTTTAGTATCTGAATTTATTCTTTATTTCATTGTATGTGTTACAGGTCAAAATTATATTCAGGTGAAAATTTTTCAACTTTGCTTGCCCTTGGTTGATTCTCAATTTCCTTCATCTCCTAGCCCTACTTATTTATCAGCCATACAAACATTTACAGAAAATAATAGTTACTCTATTTTTTGGACACACCTGATCTTTAATTCTGGGGGACACCATGAATTGAGTGGTTAAGACCAAATTTCACAGTCTTATTTTTCTGTAACCTGATTGGTTTTAAGCCCTCATGCACATGCAGCTGCCAGGCAAAGTACCAATTCACAGGGTTTTTCACAGGTTCTGACCCTGCAAAAAATGCCCTGTTCACAAGTTTTGAGATTTTCTACCCTATACTTGTTTAGATTTCTTCTTGAATGCACATGCTCCAATACGGATGACATGGCATTATATAGTATAGTATTATTGTTGCAACCTGAATTACATGCTGCCACAGTAAGGATGTGCGAAAAATGGTTGTGGAGAGGTCCTTGGTTTATGGGTGGGGATATCTATCTTAGACAGATTTCATTAAAACACATTTATACTAATGAGAGGTTTGCATTCTTATTAATTTCAGAGTCATTCAAGAGCATCCCAGCCTGATACAAGCAGCCTCATACATTGCTGCGGCAATTGCCAAGGAATGTGGGGAACGCCCTCCAAGTAGACGGAACCATCGTGCTGTGGTTGATGACTATGAATCTGATGAAGAGCTACAGGGAATGGAACCTGGGGTAAGAATTTATTTTCAGTTTATGAATGTAGTGCTTTGAACATCACAATGTAAGAACTCCAACATTAACTCATGACACACCTATACAGTTTCCTATACAATCCTGAAACTCCTTTTATTGCAGACACTATGCACTGTAGGGAACTTGAGTTAGTGTCCTCATTAGTAAGAGTACGTAAATTAGCAGAAGTTTATTTCAGACAGATGTCTGTACATGTAATTTGTTTTCGCCGGGGATTTAGCTGCTGCCCATTTTAGCGAGGTGTCCGTTATAGCGGGGTATCAGCAAGGCGAAAGTTAACTGTATTTATTTTCTCTTATCCTGCTTGAAGTACCTCAGCAGGAGATATAATTTTGAAACCTTCATTTTGAAGTACTGTTTTTGATATCACATGTAGATTATAATTTGGAACAATTTAGTCCCCTGGCCTTCCCACAAGAATCTGAAAATGCTCTGATTGCTTTAAGTCTTCACTGTATGTACTACACCACCCAGAGTATAAGTCAAAGAACTTTTAGTGAACATGCATATGGACCCATTTTTTTTAGAGAAATTGCATGCAATAAAATTTTCCTTCAAAAAATCGATGATTGTACTTTTTGAAAGAAAAAGGTCTTTTCTGAGAAGAAGTACGATCCTGGCACAAATTGTTTGTGCCAGGATCGTACTTTTTCTCAGAAAAGACCTTTTGTGGTTTGATTCTCATAATAGACAACCTCCCATATGCATGCAAACACTCAATCATCACATTTTGGGTGATTGCTCATGGGAAAATTGAATGTCTAGTATGTTATTAATAAAAAATAATGTTTATAAATAGACATTAATACTTTCTCATTTATCAACAACTGACAGCTAGTTGCCCAGGCAGAACTGGTGGCTGCAAATGAAGAACGTATTCAGTCATCAAGATCAAGATCATCATCATCATCATCAGCTCCATCATCAGGATCAGCTGTAGCACATCAACAAATTACATCATCTTTACTGTCATCAGCACTGGCCAGTGCTGGAATACCCCAGGCCTCTACATCTCGAAGTCACAGTAAGGCCTTTATTTTACTTTATTATAAAATATATGTCACACTGATTAAAAAAACTAGACCTCAGTCAAGGGGTGACAAGCTGTACATACACTCATGATCAGACAGCAATCAACCTATCAAACTGATAAGCGGCCATCAGATGCTGGATACACCTTCAAAGTTTGGCTTCGTTAAAATTAATGTGATGAAGGAAAATACAGTCCAAGATAATGCTGACAAAGTGTTTGTGGACCAGTACTGCTGCTCCCATCACATGTTTTTTTCAAAATAAAGTTCAGTGATGTTTCTGCAAAAAATTAAACCTCCATTAAGCACTTGCCAGTAACCCAAGGGAGGCTGCTTAACGGGCTTCAACTGTAATAAACTGTTTAAAAAAAGTAATACATTTGAGCATGATTTGAACATTGTGTAGATCAAGAAGGGTGTTATCCACTAAAGACAATTGGTTATTTACTGCCAAACTAAGAAAAGCAAAAAATTAAAGTACTATTTTACATTATTTTTCTAGGTCTTTCTTCTGCTGGTCCATCAACAAGCAGTGGCACTTCAACTTCTAGGCAGACAATCACAAGAGATATGGTTCGTGAAGCCATGGCATCTGCCAGAAGCGTGGCTCACACATCTTCTCAAATGCAGGTAGGTTTTAGAATAATTATAATGCTTACATGTATGAGAATGAATTATAAAACTTAATGCAATGGACACTGTATAAGCTTCTTGTATTATTTTGTCATCCTAAAAATGTACAATCATCTTGTATGCTGATAATGTTAGAACTCAGGCTCAGGCGACCCACTTAATCCAAGCCCTGACAGCCCCCACCCCCACATTAACCCGTCCTTCATTGTCTTCTCCATTATAAGTTCAATCACTAGTGTGTACTAAGTTAATGATGTTTATCACTACCTTAACTGCTCTATATTGCACCAACCCTTAATTCCAGTCTTCTCCACAGACAACCCAATCAGCCTACCCTATGGCTCTTTTTTGTCTGGGACCAGTTACATAAATATTAGTGTCAGACATTCAAGTAACCTTTGATGTCCATCCCAGTCAAACCCTCTATTTCAACACTAGATGCTACCAGTTACAACTTACATCAGACGTAAGGTGTTATGCTAATTACCCCAGGCCTCGAGGCTGGGGTTACTCCCTGCAATGAACTATGCTATATGGGAATCGAGGCTCAACCCGCAAGGGGTACCTTCTTCAGGTTTCAGATATGTGAAAGGGTATCACGATTTCACTTTTCATTAAGCACATGAAAGGGTAGAAAAAACTTTCATTTCTGTTTGTAAAAAGACTTAAAAGGACTAACTGAAGGAATTTAGGGCTGTGAAAAAGTCGTGAAAATTTCCTAGTCTTGTCTTAATTCATATTTTAAAGACAATGCATTTTACATCAGTTAATCAGAATGTGAAAGGGATACCATTTGTCAATAGAAGGTATACAAAAGGGGTACCTTTTCCAGGGCTCGAAAAAATTCTCATCCAGTAATCCGTGACAAGTGGATTTTCTTGCCGGGCAAGTAACTTTTGAAGCTCACCTGCCCAATGAGTAAGGGTCCAAATAACTCATCCTCTAGCAGCTAATGAAATCTTTAACTGAGACAAGCAAAAAGTGGTGCTGGGCAAGCGAAATGTGAGAGCTGCCTGCCCAAATGATAAGCTCGAATTCAAGTTTTTGTCGACCCCTGCTTTTCTGTCAAAAATGGTATATAAAAGGGTAAGGGTTGGACCTCCCTTAGGGTGGACCCCTCCCCCCACCCCCCTCACAAAACTTTGTTGAGTACCCCACAACCCTCCGGACCCCAGTCCTTTCTTCAACCTGCTCCACAGGCTACCCACTCAGCAATTCCCTATTTTTTTTTTCCCTGGACAGTCGCAATTGCAGCAGCTGAGAGATATGGGTATCACTGATGATGCCCTTAGTCTTCAAGCCTTATCAGCCACTGGTGGTGATGTGCAAGCTGCTCTTGAGCTCATATTTGAAGGACTGTAAGCTTTGTTCTAATTAATGTAGTCGCTGACACAGGGCATTTATTTGACTTGCATGATCCTAGGACATATCTTTCTTCTGTAAATTTGTCAATCTATGACTTTATTTTACTGATTTCAAAATAGTTGTTCTCAACCTGCTGTCAAAGCCCTTATTTATTTAGTTGGAAGGATCAAGTCTGTAAAACCCAGAAGTTGAAACATTACTGGGAGTTATTTCTGTATAAAAATTAAATACAATTTTAAGAGAAAAAATTGTAAATTCAAAATACATTTTAATAACAATGAAAATACTTGTTATTGGAAATACAGTATTAAATAAGTTTACAATATTTCAATAACATGCCTTGGTTAAGTATTTTTTGCTACAGACTGCTGGGTATTTGTACTTTCATCCCTTCAACAATAATTCAACCAGAATACCCTCTTGAGTTAGCCACTCCTTTTCTTCAAAAATGGATTAGTTCATGTTACGGTAGTTGCCTTTGCCACAGTCAGAGCTGGTAACATGCAAAATATTCTCACCTCTAGCTTATGATACAACTTATTACAGCTTAGGTCCCGTCCACACATATCCGGATATTTTTGAATCCACAACTTTTTCTTTCCTGATACAGCTTCTGTTCACACTTATCTGGTGAATCCGGCATACAAATCTGCAAATTTTCAATCCGTTTTCCAGAATGGAAATTTTTGAATAGATTATGCTATGCATCCAGAATTGTGTGGACACTAACTCCGGTTATTTTTTTATCCAATGACGTAACAAGATCGAGCCCAGTTTTTTATTGTGAATACTGTATTCAAGATGGCAACCTCATTCCCAGGCTCTCTCTCCTACCCGCTGAGGAGTCAAATTTGCTCTTTGCATTTTTCTTTAATTTTCTGGGTTGATTCGGCCATAATTCTAGACGCAAATTTTGTGCACTTTACAGTTCATGCTCTGTTGCCAATATTCCCTGTGGAGTCCTGGGTACTAGAGTGGATATGGATACGTGCCTGTGGCTCACTGTCGACTGAGCTGTCAGATTTCTGCCAATCAGCGCAAAGTGGAAACAAGCGTGAATGTAAACAAACATTGAAAAACACGTGCCAAGGGTAATCACGTCATTTCTAATGCCATCTCTGCCAATGAGCATTTCGCATCAACTTTTTCAATGCAGCTATTCAAACTCTAGAGACGTAGAACCTTGCAATGTCTCCTTCCTTTTCTTGCCCCACGGCCAGAGCGCCCCAGAAAGCTTGCTCGCAGGCTAGCTCTGAGAAGTTTTTCTCCAGGTACTGTATGTCCCATCACTCTTGACTAAAAAGCAGCTCTTCCAGATTACAGATTAGTATCTGTACCCCCGGCACTTCATTGGCCAACTGGATGATTAGTAAATAAGCACCCCTTTTCAAATAGGCGGGGCCTCTCCTCCTCCTCCTCCTCACTTTCTTTAACAGTAGGAGAACAAAAACCCCTGTTCATCAGTACAGGAAGGAGAACAGTCTATTATTTTCTGTCAAGTCATTTCATTTACATAGATGTTAAAATGCAGTTGTAGTTTGTTCCTTTGAAGATTTAGCCAAAATAAAGTGACAGTTCATTTATTTTAAAGGAAAACTCAATTAAGCGCCTTCCTTTGAATAAGTGCCAGAACTCTTTTGCTGCCAAACTTAAATAAGCACCTGGGCACTTATTTGATGCATCCTCATAGAAAAGTGATTTACATCATCAGAATATTCTACTGTTTGTCAATCATATATAGACACCACCTTTGTTATTTTCTGTCTGTGGCAGCAGGGAGTTCATTGAGAGATGACCACATTTTGTAGACTAAAACTAATGACTGACTGATGATTTAAAAATTTATCAATATTTTATTGTATTGTTGGTGGTGGAAGCCCAGTCCATGTTGAACTAGTCCCATGGAATACCCATACGGACTACGCCACTCAAGTTTAGTGATTAGAGTTAGGAAACTGAGTGAAACAGGTTCCATTCAGGGTCATTAAACTGGGAAAACTAACCTGAAACTTTGTCCACCACATGTATTGTTGACTAACTTTGTAATACCACGTCCAGAGTTGCAATCATTATAATGGTTATTATCTGTTTTTCCCAGTCAATAATGTATTTACTAACTTTGAAATATTTTTTAATTTAAACAGTGGTTAAAAACTAGTTAATAGACATAAATACTAGACATAAAGCCCGCTAACTAAAGTACACGTCCCTGTAAGTGAAATAAGCCCCTTAGCAACATAACGCTGCTTAAGAGGCATGAAATGTTCCTACAATATATAACTCGTAAACAAAATAATAACATAAATAATGCTTATAACAAGGAAATAAAAACCATCTGAGATAGTTACATACTAGACTGCAAAACAGTTGGTTTTTTTCTCAAAATCAGTAAAGAAATTGTTGGACTGCTCGCACGTACTTAAATATGCAAAAATACGGACTGTTTTGAAGTCTAGTTACATACCTACTTTAGAGTACATTAAAGTACTTAGTACTTACTTAATTGGGAAAAATGTTATAATTTGTGCTCTAGACGAATGTTTGTAAAAGTAACATGCAACATACGGACAAGCCACTAATACATCTAATAATTTTTATAATGATTATCAGTGAATAGTTTAACTTTTAATTTTATTGCAGTGTACCATCATATGTACTGATTGGTCGTGATTGTAATTTATTCTTATTTAATAAGGTTTGTTTCTATCATTTTAACCTTTACTTCTAATTACAGGTTGTGATATTGACAAATTTAAAAGTTTTTAACATCGTTCAACCTATTTTTATCAAGAATTCAAATTTCTAACTATGACAGACGCATGAAAACGTTTGTTGGGCTTCATATTTCCTTCCTGGCTCCAGAAGGAATGGCTTGCTAACATAGCCTGCTTCTACACACAGCATTTGTGGATACTATAACAAAAAGAGATAAACTTTCTTTGAGTGTGATTGTATAGGTCACTGCAAAAAATTTGATAATGGTCTGTACATGCTGTCTTAGGTAGAGCTTCATGAAAGCTAGAATGTTTGATCTTCTTTGTTCGTACACGCCATTTATCAGCTTCTCCACAATTTCCCTACTTAGCGGTGGAGTGCAGCGTGAAGTCAGCAAGAGGGAAAAAACTAACAAGGAGGAGAACGAGAATTCCTTTGCTCTCACCCACTACCTCAGCCCCCAGCTGTTTCTCCTGCTGGCATCTCTTTGGGCCTTCCCCACAATCTGAATGCCTGGAGCAGGCTAATGGGGTGTAGGAAATTTAATTATTCCCACCAGAATGGAGTTTAGACTACTAATGAATCGAAGGCACCAGCTTCAGCTATAACAACACGTTATGTAGCTTTTTCTTTGAATATTAGCTGGGACATCCTAATGCATTTCATTTTTAGTTAGAGACATTAATTATCCTTCCAAAGTGTTTAGCTGTGTGCATATACATGTTGCTCCTTAAGATATTACTAGTAGAAATACATAAAAGCAATATGCAATGTACAGACCTCTTCATCTCCAAAATCAGACATTGTCATGGCCTTGTGAGCCCAAGGATTCCAAACAACTAAAAGAAACAAAAGAGTAAAACATTTACTTGGGCCCTGTAGATTCACTAGGCAATTTTTCTTACAACTTACAAGTCCTACAAGCTGGCCTCATAATTCTAGATTACCAGATGAGAAAAAGATAAATTCAGATGGTACAGTGTTATCCTCACTCAATTTTTTATGGAAAATTTTTTTAAATCTGGTATGGATTTTTTTTTTGGAGGCGGAGCAGGGGAACCTTTTTTGGGACCATTTATTGCAGGAAGCCCAAGGGTTTTTTTTGATGGGTTTTGATTTTGCCCCTTTTTCCATCATCATTTTAAATCCGGAGAACCCTCTTGGGTTTGTGTTATCTTTCATGTAATATATCAAACATGAGATGCAGTGTTTCATCACCAGATGAAACACCGAGAAGAGAGTTGAAAATACGACGCGCAGCGGAGTATTTTTGACGAACTTCGAGGTGTTTCATCTGGTGATGAAATAAAATCATTTTTGAAGGAGAAATTAAGGATGCAAATACTAAGCAGTGTTTCATCCGATTTCCAAACACTCATTAAACATTAATTTCCTTTGTATTTTCTTAATGAATTATTAATGAGTTTGAGAAGGCCAGTTCAGTAAGGCACAGTTCTGTCCTTTTTATAATCACCCATCACCATGCATTCATGATTGAGTCACTATGGTGAAGAAAAAAATAAATAAATAAACGGTTAGATAAAGTGCTTTACCTGTGTCTGGTAAATTCTCTTTCCAAAGAATAATGTCACAATTTTCAGATCCAACATTTGTTATCTTATGTTCACTAGGAGAATTTTCATAAACCCTAAGAAAAGACACATATTTATTTACTAAATGAATAATAATTTATTCATCATCACTTCATTAAAATTATTTTCTAAGAAAATAGCAAAAGCTAAAAATTACATACCTGTCCGTGTAGCTCTTGACTATTACAGGATCAGCATTCTCAGTGTATGTTTTCCCACCAAGAACCTATGGAAAAGAAAGGAGAAAAATACCATATTTATTCGATTAGGCACCTTGGGCGCTTATGAAATATTTGGGCCCTGAGAGTGGGCACTTATTCAAGGTGGGCACTTGTTTGAGGCTGGGCACTTATTTAATTTTCATTATTTTCAACAAAACAGTAAATAATAATATTACAAAATGTGAAGAAGTGCCAGATCAGAATTTTAAATGTCTATTGAAAGGTTATTTTAGAACTCAGTCCTCAGGGAAGTCTCTTAGTAGTACAGGTACCTACTGTAGTCAATTTCTACGTTATGCACTTAGTCGAGGCTGGGTACTTATTAACTTTCCGTCCCTACAGGATGGGTGCTTATTCGAGACGGGTGCTAATTCGAGGTTGAGTGGTTAATTGAATAAATACGGTAATCATGATGCAACATCTGAAACCAACAGATAAACTGTTAGAAATTTACCAGTTAAATTATAGCATTGAAGTATTTTTAGGAGCAAAGTAGCATCAAAGCTTTTTATTCAGTTTAAATTCCTTTGTTAGGAGTACAACACGAGCTAGAACTGGCCAAAAATCCCAGTCCAGTGGATGTGCTCCCAGTGGCAGACAGCTAGGGGAGCTGCAGAGGAGAAGTGACAGTCATCTGCAACATTTGTGGACACAGAGCCTGGCACGCTAAGGACAGAGACAGAAGGATAAGACAACACCTGGATGCACAGAGGATCCTGAGAGAAGAAGAAGAAGGGGAGTATGTCTTGTCAATGTGGCAGAGTGACATGCAGGAGATCAAGAAGGCTGAAGAGTTTCACATTATCACATCTTTTTTTTCTTGAATAAAATTCAAGCAGTCTCTAAAAATCACAAAAGTTTTGGATGCCTTGCAAAAATAAACCAGTATACGTGTACCTTGTCTACATAAGTTAACCCAGTCAATCCAGAAACTGTTGTTTTTGTAACATCTGGAACTCTAAAATATGTGTGCAAAAGCGTGGTAAACTCAAAGGGCTTCTCATCTGTGAAACAAACAAAAAAGCTTGAGCTTGATTGATATCTTAGTGCCTTACACCTCACAGGGAGTAAGCAAAAAGTAATTTTTGGACGGAATCAGTAAATCCTTCCCCATCCCTGGACCTCCATCAACATAACATGAAGCATAATTAATATTGAAAATGCCAAGGAAGAGGGGTATTTCTAAAAATCATTAAGCAAAATAAATCCACCCCATGAATTTCCAAAATTATGGAGGAAAAATTAACCAATAAGACTAGAATTTGTTTACTGAACAAACAACTTAAACATGACTGTTGTGAAAAGCATCTAGAAATAGTAATGTACCTTTATTTTCTGCAGTTATTGTCATTTTTAAGTTATGTTTTCCCACAGTGACCTCATACAGCAGCTTAAATCTATAACTCCACATCTTCTGTGTGTTCTCATTGTCTTCCAAAACAAATACTGCACTTGTTTCACCATTCTCTTCCTTGATCATGATAAAGAAAGTCAGGTATTTAATAAGTACCAGTACACAATAATACTAGCATTTCTGTGCAAGCAGGACGAGAAAGTGGGTCAGGGGCTTTTGGAATAAAACTTCAGTTATTGGGTGTATGTGGATAGTATACAATGTATGTGGGTGGGCGGGAGGGAATAATAGTTATTTTCAATTAGATTTAAAATACACCGACAATTTTATCCAAAACTTATCGTGCTTACGTTGTAGTAACTGAAGGTGACCAGCAGTTTAAAGGAAGCTGCTTAATGATGATCAACAGCCTTAAGAAGTTGTTCACTTGCACTCGCTCTTGAAATGTTTAGAGAAAAATCAATATCAAATACGCCATAATACGGTCGACTTCCGATAACTCAAACCTTCAAGGGAAATCAAAAGTTATTGGGAGATCGACTTATCAGGAGCTCGAAGCAACTAGCCGGAAGTAAGGGAAAAACCAGTTTTTACTTTACAGTGAACATTTTAATCAGATTTAATTGTAGTAATGTTAAGTGAACATTGAAAAATACTTCTAGATTATAAATCAGAATGTAACGTAAAAGTCTTAAAAGAGCCTGCGTTTTACTGTTTTTGAGGATTAAAGCTGTTTCACATTAGATTTGTGACAAACAACATCAGCCTCCACTAGTAAACTATATGCCTACAACACATCAATGGGAAATTGAAAATCAATGTTTTGGATGACAGAACACTGTCTTTCCCCCAACTTTTTAAGTGCTCAAAACATGGTTCGAGTTATCGACGGTAAAATTATATGGAAATGGTCTCAGGGAAACAAAAATTACTTTGAGTTAGTGGGAGGTTCGAGTTACTAAGGGTAAAATTACAGTACTTAAATGTATGAAGGAAATCCAGGGGAAATCGATTTTGGTTCAAATTAGCATGAGGTTCAAGTTAGCGAGGGTTTGAGTTATCAGTAGTCAACTGTATGTTTGTAACTTAGGCGAAATGGTCAACCCAACATGGGCATCATATGGAGAAGTAAATTGTTCCTCTACTCAAGCAGCCACGCAATTGTTAGTAGGTGACTTTTTTCAATTTTGCTACAAACCTTAGGTTCCTCAGCAACTTTCCACTGACTTATTCTTGCAAAGCCATGCTGCGGACCCAGTTCCCATGGGCCAAACTTGGCTGTGTAGACAGAATAAATACATATTATTAAATAATACTGATCTTATTGCATGATGCAAAGCTTAGGAAGTCCAGCAGCAAATGGAAATTAGTTTAGTAAAGTCGAAGTTAGACTGTTTGGCTAGAGAAGGGAAAAGAATTTTGATATGAAAAATGGCCAGTTCCAAAAATGGGATTCCAAGGGTTATACTACTACATGAGAATAATTTCTGCAATTTAATTGGCTTAGAGCAGTGGTATTTCACCTTAATTTGAAATACCTACATGTGAAAATTACAAACCTTCTACAGGTTGTAGTATAAACAATTAATAACATGATTTGTACGTGATATTTGGCATAAATACCACTCGTGATATTTCAAAATTGTCTCAAATTTCACTTGCCTAATGGCTCGTGAAATTACGTATAACAATTTTGAAATATCATGCGTGGTATTTATACCAAATATCACTACAAATCATGCTATTACCTATACAAATCATTCATAAAAAGGAGTTAATTGAGGCTACAGTATGTACTAAGTTTTAAGACTCACCCCAAAATTACAACAGATTTAGAGCTATCAAGCAGACTTTCATTGAGAAAATGCTGCGCCTTATAAGCAGAAAAATATGGTGGGTTACAGACTCTCTACTTACGAAATACTAATGGTATCCCTCCTCTTATCGCCTTTGTTCCATCAAGGATAGCCTTCTCACTGTTTTATAATAGAAAAATAAATAATATTATTTGGGTATTTAATAAAAGAATAAGTTGTGGAAATTCATATTTTAAAAGTTTATAATTACCTAACAAACAACATTTCCTGGCCTTTGCACTTCCATGATGTTAAAGTTGCCCCTGTAGATAGGAAAAAATTGTTGCACAAAAATTTTACACTCAGCAATACCCCCAGGGAAGGTTTACATAGCCTCCCACACACTGTAGTAATAGGCTAATGAGAATGTGCTGCTGGATGGGCTCGCACTTTCATGACTGGATTGACTATAACGGGCTGACATTATGATACTTACTAGAATAGGGTCACCATTTTCAGTATTTTGGGTTAAGAAATTTTTGTTGGTAGGAATTTGAAAAAATTTGTGAACTCATTATTTTGGGTTGACTAAACTACTGGGCTTTATAAGATAGATGCATAAACAGAAAGTGACAAAGTAGATTACATTTGCCCGAAAGTGACTAGAATGGGGTCTATAATTGGCCATACAATAGACTATAATAGCGTAGGGGCTCTGAGAGGCGAGCAGCACATACAAAGCAAAAATTGACCCAAGAGTCCCCCCCCCCACCCCCAGGATACCCCATTAAAGAACTATAAGGCCCATAAACAACTGCACTACTTGTGGAGGTGGGTACCCAGAATGTTCAGAGGCTTCCATTTTTGACAAAGCCAGCCCCTAGATAAAGTTACACCACCATGGCTGGTACACCTGTACCTTCCAGCCATGAACTCCCAGACAAACTTAAACAGCAACCTGTGACACTGATTTATCAGTGGAAAAATAAAAGGGGGGAGGGGTGGGGGCAAATGCACAATCCAAAGGCTAAACAAAGCCAGTGGCTGCCAGGAAATGCTGTGGTAAGCACATGCCCTGAGCTGATGCAAGCAAGGCTGATGGGGCTTGAGTCACCAAAATGACCGCTCACCAGGCCCTGTTGGGGCAAAATTTGGACAAGTGACATTGCCTTGAAAGAGCGACTTAAAACAAAATTAATGAAATGGTGACAACGAACAGAAAGATGGGTTCAAACTGTGACACCAACAAAGACAAGTGCAAAAACAATGGTAAAATGATGACAGGGACATTGCTCCCTCCTAAAAGTGAAAAAAGACAGGTTTTGAAATTCAGACTAGGGACATGTGTACCCATCCTAAGAGGGCTTCGCTGATAAGCTTCTGTAAGACCACCTCATCTCCCCTAAAAAGTAACTTGCACAAAAGTATGCAGAGCAGCTAAATCTCCCTATTTTCACGATTTTTATGGTTGGAATGGTTGGAAAAACGCTTCACAATCTCACTCCCTAAATAGTTGCCAAAAAGAAAAAAAGTCACATTTCTTTTGCAGAATCATAAGGAATAAAATGGTATTATGCATCAGTCAATTCCAGCTGCAAGCCCCCAAAAACCGTCCCCCTTCCCCTCCAAAGCTGACCCCTGGGCATTAGCATTTTTTTGCCTTGGATTGCAAATTCCCAGGGGTGGGGCTTCTGCAGCTGTCAAATCCCCTAGGGTGGGGAACGAAAAAAGAGGGTAAATGCCCCGTCCTCCATCAACACCGCAATATTTTTCATTGATCACATGGTCGAGTCGTGCCATTTTAAGCATTTTAATGCGCGATTTTTTGTTAAAACTAATGTCTGCCTTTGTAATAGCGCTATTCTAATTATGAATTCAAGCCGCGACAACACCAGTTTATGGTTTAAGTGTTGTTATAAAATTATTGGCAATAAAATTAATAATGCAGGTGCTGTAAAGTTAACTGTTCTGAATAGTTTTATAAATGTGAAAGGATGTTCTTCAAATAATATCAACAGAAATTTCAGTTGCTAACCAAAAAAACCTTGATTCACATCGATAGCTCCCGATTTCACTATGTAATTGTGGCTTGAAAAGCAATGAAGAAATGCATGCATAAAATCGAGAACATGCCTTTACAGCCCTCTACAATTTTTTCCTGCCCTTGATAGATGAGCTAATCTGCTTGTTTTTCCAGTAAAATCCCCTGTGTAGTTATGTTTGCATAGGGAACCACAGGCATATCAAAAGCGCAGGGGTGGCCCCAGGGTTGGCAAATGCCCGATCCCCAGGCAGTGCAAAATTTGCTAATGCCCCACCCCCTGGACTAACAAGGCAGGAAAACACCCTGTGGTAGCCCGGTGGGGAAGGGGAGGATGGGTGCAGCTGGGATTGACTGATGCATTCCATGTACCGGCTGGTGTAAGACTCCACCCCAAATAAAATATTGTCTAGTCTTGCATGTATGCAAAAGTTCTTCAAACGAGGTAGCATGACAGAATTCCATCCACAGATGTAAAAGTTACAAGGTGAGAAGATTCTACATTTTGAGTCCTAAGACCAGAATTCACAACATACACATGTTAGCACTAAACCCTTCCCCCTCCCCCTTCCCGTCTCCTCCCCACCAAGCTTCTACCGCGGTGAGATTCTCCCTGATGGGGGTCCTGATTCTCTGCAAGCCGAGTCTCATTGTCTTTTGATCATTGAAGATTTCTGCTATAAGGAAATTTCTTATTATATAGCTGCCCCAACACTAAAATAATGTTTTGCAATGTGTTTGTCGGAAACTCGGGAAAGGAGCGTACAGCGTCACAAAAAAGCTTGAGCATACAAATTGAAGCACCGATCTGGTGTGGATCTTTTTTTTTTTTTCGCTAGTTTCAAACACTGGAAAGATAAAGGGGAGAAAGCTAAAGATTCCTTAAATTTAGTATTAATTGAAATCTAAAGATAAACTTACTTAATTGCATTTCACAACACTGAGATTAATTCACTTGTATTCATTGTGTGTTTACGCGGGGTAAAATACAACTCATGTCTATACAATGTAGAACGTCAAAACTCATGCAAAGCATAATGCCTAATAAGTTATAATAAAATTATAGATGGAGGCTTCTTCCAGGGTTAAATTTATTTTAACACAAATACCCTTAAGGCTATTATAAACAGAAAGCGACATAAACTTAACCCAGGATTTAGGTGTCATGCAAACATTTCTACTGTACCATAAAGGTGAACTTGAGCAGAGTCGCCGTCTGAATTCGCAAGCTCGACAACTTTGTTCATTCTTTAGAGCCAATAAATCACAGCAGATATTTCCAACGAAGAACAACAAGTTGCTAACTTTCCTCGGGAGCTGAGATGCACGATTCCTTTGTTGATCAGTATTGGCCCATGAGAAGATTGTGATCATTACGTGACGTGGAAACCTTTCGTTTATATGGCTGCTGGCATACTTCACAAGAAATGCGGCATGAGTGCAGCGTTCGTGAGCGCGTGCGTTAAACGTGCGTTAAACGTGCGCTCTTAAACGTGCGCTCATGCTTTCGTTTTTGCGCGGGAAGGGGTTCATGGGGAGTTTCTACTGGGTGCCAGAGACTTTTCAGGCGCGGTTTCCGGTTTCTGTCAAGTCTTTTTAGTTCGTGTCGGCCTTTGGCCGAAAATCTGTCGGCCTGCGGCCGATATCGAAAGGAGCATCCACCCGCAGGGAGTTTCGCCCTCCCAAAAAGACCGAAAAGAACGCTTAATCACAGGCAAACGCGAGCGCATGGGGGTTTGGATTGTCTAACATCTGTCCTTTGCAGATTGTCGAGCTTACAAAATCGCCTATCGGCGGGAGACACGCCAATTAAGCCACGCCTAAAAGTCAAGCAAGCCAAGCGAACGACTCCGTAAACGCTAGCTAAAAGCCATGAAAGAAAGAAACTTGTGCTGCTTACAGGTTTTTATATACCATCTGCAACCTCCCACCTCCAGAGCCAGGAAAAAGCGCCCTGGGGACGAGGTTGTACCATTGGAAAAGTAATGGGGATGGGGGAGTACCTGGAGAAGTTTCTGTTTGGAATGAAATTTATGTTGTTATTGTTCTTATGCTATGGGCATGTTTTAAATTTTTTTTCTGCCTTATCTTATATCAGGAGCCTGTGCTCGTATGTATTTTTGTTTTCTGCATCTGATTCTGGCTGATATGCATCAGAAAGGAATTTATGCTGGAGGAAGTGTTGCTCGACTCCGCCCCGGGTAGCTGCAAAGGAGACAAGAGACGGGACAACATCTTCGTTATTTTAATCGGGGAATCCCCCTCGGATATTATCCTACAAATTATTATCCTATAAGATGTAATAGAGTTTCGAACAGTCACTCCACTCGGCTTACAAAAGATGTTGCGGAGACATCGAGATTCATGAACGACCATAGATAGCTACTGATAACACTCAGGTAAAGATATTTCTCTCTCTCGAAGATCCCCGGCTTTACCAAAATATACCTTTCTGGCATTTTTGTTTTCCTTTTTGCGATGAGATACGCCAGAAAATTGCATTTCGTTTAAAACTAAGATGCTACTTCATTTTTATATTGATTATGAAAACTCAAATGCAGTCTTAGTCTCTCCAGTTTCTTCTTTTTTGTATTTTCCAGTTCTTTTGGGTCCATCAGTCTGACAAAATAGTGTTGTGTGTGTGTGCAAAGGTTCAATCCCATTAAGTCGTTTTCTTAATAAACCGTGGAGTGTAGAAAGCAGATTGCTTGGCTCCTTGCACTTTTGAAATACAACAATCGCTTTTGCAATTTCGTGGAGATTGATATCTTTCTCCAAACAAAAACTCCGTATCTTATTAATAATACATGCTGATTGTGTGAATAATTTATTTTAGTGAAGTGATTACTGCACAGGCCCCGACATCATCCATGTTTCTGAATATACATATTTTTTGTGTTCTAAAGCACTGAATTTCCTTTATTTCCCTCTTGCCCCTTTTGTGTTATCTTGCAGAAAATCTGGCATTTAAGTATCAATAATTATTTTACTATGTACTCAATTTGTTTTATATGTTTCAATAGTATCTAATTTGAATTTAAAAGATTTAAGATATTCAAGCAAAACGTGTCCATTCTATCACAAAAAGCTGCAGCATTTCGGCCAGCTACTGGTTTTTACTGGAGAACTGTCTTTTAAATTTAATGTTTCAGCTGAATCGTCTGGAGATGCGAGAGGTGATCCAAGTTTTTCTTTCAACTCCTCTGCCATAGTGTAGAACACGTTGTCAACGTTAGTTCGGTCCTTTGCGCTCGTCTCGATGAACGAAATATGCAGTCTTTCCGCGAAGCTTTTCGCCACATCATATTCAACCTGCCTCTTTCCTAGCAAGTCACATTTATTACCGACAAGCAGTTTATTCACTCCTTCGCATGCATAACGATCGACTTCCTCCAGCCATTGATCAATGTGCAAATAACTTTCCTTTTCGTTAACGTCATATACCATTATAATTCCATGTGCGCTTCTGTAATACGCCGTAGTAAGCGTTCGGAATCGTTCCTGGCCGGCCGTATCCCAGATCTGTAGCTTTACCACTTTTCCGCCGACGTTTATTGTACGTATTTTAAAGTCAACTCCTATGGTACTTATAAAGCTCTCTGTAAACGTGTCGTCCGCGAAGCGTATCAGGAGACATGATTTTCCTACTCCAGAGTCCCCAATTAAAAGCAGTTTAAACAAATAGTCATAATCTGGGTTCATGAGTTCAGACAAAAAATACCTGAATTCACAGGTAAAATTCTCTGCACTCCTGAGAAATATCCGAGAATAAATTCGTTTTTCGCCCCGTGTTATCGGTGGAAAAATATGAACTAATTTCCATATTTATCGTTTAGGAAAAACAAGTTGGATAGACTACCTGCCAGAGGCTACCATGACGTCAGAATGGTGCTGTTGCGCGTGCCTTGGATTACGAACCACGCGCGGGCACTTAGTTAAGCTGTAAAACAGACGTTTTAGACTACAGAACAGCCCGATTTTTGGCGCAGACCAAGAACGCACAAGCACAAGCGAACAAGGCACGAGCTGTCAAGAGTTAGTTCTGCAGGTCTCAGCCGGTGGAAACAGTCAGGCAAGGGGCGTTTAAGCCTCCCGCGCTTTACGCCAGAACCTCATGCGGGAAGCTCCCCCAATCCCCCCTCCAAAAAAGGTTTTGAGAAAAGACTGACTGTTTTGCAGTCTTTAGCTTTCCATTAGCCTCCCACGCAGACGTTCTTAGGGGTTAGTCACGCGTTCCTGTCCCACTAGTGGGGCAGAAACGCGTGACGAACCCTAAGAACGTCTGAGTGGGAGGCTAGCTACAGGCAAGGCAAGCACCAGTAAGAGAAGCGTGAAGTTCCGGCCACCCGCGAACTGAGAGCCCGCGCTTTCCCTGTGTTTCGTGAAATGTGACCTCACGCTTCTCGCCGATCAGTACCGACCTCCTTTTTTATGATCCTATTAAATTATAAAAGGCAAATGAACGCATAGGGCTCAAAGGTTATGATAAGTTTGGATTCCAGAACGTTTCTCTTGTGCATGACTTCAGTCCAGGGTCTCTGCCCTCATAAGTTTGGACAAGTCAGGTTTGGAAGGGTTTAACATCCTAATAATAAAGGAATTTAAAATTATCTGCAAAAACCGTGGACATCTGTATACCTGAAGAAGGCTGGTATGGCCAGCCGAAATATTGTTATGAAAATACAATACACGTTGTTCTGATCAGCTCTGCAGTAGTCTTTGGAATTCTCGTTTTTGGTTTTTAACATCCTACCCCAGCAAAACAATTAGAGAAACTTAATCTCGTACTAAAAAGCGGGATAATTTGTTAATCTATTTAACATATTCTAAAAAGGAAGTTGCTGTTGGGGAAATAATGAAGTATTTCTTTAAAACAATTGTGTCCCTCCAAATGGAAGCAAATTTTTCGGCTTTGAGCTGTCACGCGATAACGCTATACACTTCGGAGGTATCGCGTGACAAAGCTACTTTTGGTCTTCGAAATTTGGTAACCTGGCCTACATAGCTTGCATAAACGCCTGGACTCAAGGCTGCAGCCTAGACGGCTTCGTTGAGCGCCAGTTCTGATCATTTCTACGAGCTAACTACTCTAACTGATGAGTCTGAGATATTGATGGTAAATATGCATTTTTATTATTTATTTCATTGATAAAAAGGTAATCTGTCTCTTAAAGTTTCGTTTTAACGTTGTATACATTGTGTACTAGTTTGTGCGTGTTTACAAACACGTTTGTGGTTGACTCATTGATCTGATCGATCGGTTTCATACACATTCTACCAACAGCTTTATTCTTCGTACTCTAAAGATAGTTGCGCGGGTAAAATTCCAAGGAAATTGCGTTGCTAACTTTCTTTATGCTTGAGTTAGTGAGTTGACTTTCTTCTCGGATAAACTTTTTCAGCTGATGTCACATATATACACTGGTACGTAAAGCCAGGTACAGATCGAGTGGCCATGCTGGTGTCGCAGTGTCGGTGCTAGTGCCACCTGCGGTTATTTCAGTAAAACTTTTACAAGTGTAATTTACCATTGCGACCGGTGTTTTCAGACGCAAAACATTATCTCTACTTGAAAAGCACACTTGTCAAAGTTTTATTGAATTGACTGCTGAAAGGAAATTAAATTAGAATTTGACAGTATCACGCATCAACACTGTTCAGCAAAAATGAAATGAACAAGATTCAGTGTTCCATTTTAAAGTGTAACTTTCTATATTTGAGTGGAATCTTGAAAATTTCTCAGGAAAAATCTCTAACAGGCAAAAAATAAATAAATAAATAAATAAATAAAATAATAATAACATGACAGCCTGCATGGCCAGCAGGGTAGTAACAGAAGCAATCTTTTGGCAGAGGTGCTGTGGAGCCAGATTGGCGGCTTCCTCCAATAGCAATAACAATTCTGCCAGCTATACAAAACAGATACTGGTAAACATGGTCATGTTGAGTTTTTTTTAAAATTAATATAATAATGTTATTCGTGTCAAGTTTAACCCAAGAATTTAGGTGGCGCTGAATTTATACCTGGTCACACAGCCACACATCTGTGAAGGTCCTTGAAATATTTGTTTTATTTTTGCCTTCTTAAAATTTGTGAATGAAAGAAGCTGAGGGGTGTACTGAAGGAATTAAGCGATGAGAGATAAAGTTATTGGCTCCTGCTTGTGTATAGTTCCAAAAATACTGTGATCATGGGTGGTCCCTGAGAGATGAGCTTTAGAAGTAAGTGGCACACAAGTGCAGGGGAGGGGCCTGGGGAACCCGGCCGGCCCCCCTTATTCTTAGACGAAAATGATGCCCAAAGGGCCAAAAAAATTTTTTTTTGAGGCCGCCCCCCCCCCCTATCTCAGGGTCTGGATGACCGTCCGCCCCCCCCCCTCTGCCGGTAGGGATTTGCCCCCGCACACCTTTTTTTAGGTTCCCTTTTTTAGTCCCCTTCCCTTCATAAGTCCAGAAAAGGCTAAGCAGCAGCCTCAAAAGGTTTTGAAACAATAAAACAATGAAAATGAATTTTTATTTTTTACACGTCACTCCACTTATTATAAAATACTTGGATCATGGTTGTGCATGGAGATAAGATCTTTGGAAGTAAGTGGCGCCCAAGTGAGGGGGAGGTGACAGGGGAATCCCGCACGCCCCCCTGAGTTTTAGCCGGAAATGAGGGCCAAAGGGCCATAATAATTTTTTTTTGTGGCGGCCACCCCGCCTTATCTCAGGGTTTTGGTGGCCGCCCCCCCCCCCTTATCTGAAGGTCTGGATCTGCCACTGAACACATTATTTTAGGTTACCTTATGTAGGTCGCTACTCTTCAGAAGTGCAGAAAAGGCTACGCAAGCTCCTAAAAAGGTTTTGCAACAATGTAGAAATCAAATTGGCTTTTTCTTCATTCAAGGTCCATCACATGTTCAACATATAGGATCCTGTACCCTATAGTTTTGATCTCCATTCAGACATTGTCTACAGATTTCATTGTGCAGGTTGTGATGCCTGTTACAAGGGTGAAACATGTGGACATCTTTCATCGTGTGTTCATGAGCATCTGACTAGGGACAGGACCTCCAACATCTTTATGCAGTTGCAGCAGTCGGACCAATGCCCCAAATAATGCTCTAAGAGGGGCTTTTTGATTTTGGATTCCACGCGAAACCAAAACCAGCTTTAGAAGTCATTTTCACTTGGAATGTCATTTGATTCACCATACAGTTCCCCTGGAAATGGCAATACCCACCATAAAAGTTCACTGAAATTTCTGAGAATAATGGAAAAGTGGAAAGATGAGTAGAAAAACTTTCTGTGCAGTAACTTTATGTAATTTAATAATATTATTTTTTTCTTTGCTAGTTTTCATATTTTCTAAGATGACCACTGAAGTGAGTAAAACCACACCTTTTGAAGCAAGAAATGATGAAAACATTTACAGCACCACTTCGACAAAACGACACCCAATTGTGAGCCATGAACTCAAGAAATGCTTCACTAGAAATACCCCAAAACTTCGGGAACTGAGAGTGATAGTAACCAAACTTGATGCTGCAAGCATGATGGTCGCCCCATTGCCTGGAGGAGGTGGCTATTCTGTTCAGCCTCCTTCTGCAACAATAAACCCTTTGAACAAAACCCTTGTTCCTGGGGTGGGAAACTGCCCAGCCAGGAAGTCCAAAAGAAGTGCTGATGCATTGACTTGCTGTCTTGGTTGTATGGCTGGAGATCCGTGCAAGAAAACCAAATCTGGAACACAAGGTGGACGAAAATGTGGCAGGCCGAAGAATGTTGGATTAAAGAGGAAGTATGTCAGGAGATCAACAACAGCAGCAAAACGTCAGTCAGGTAAGAAAATACGAAAGAAATGAGAGGGCAGTTTCTAGTTAATTTAAGGTACAAATGATAATTTGGCCTGAACAGAACCTATTATAGCTAAAACAATGACATACACAGAGGAGAATTTGAAACAAATATGGTAAATATAGGCTGAAAGAGCAGCTCCCTCTCAAGGCTGAATCATTCCATTGAAGTGGTTTAGGATAAACCTCTTCAAAACTGAATAGTATACTTCCCTGTCTATGGTGATTCTACTAACTTTAGCCACCCATACTAGCACAGTTGTTTTGCTTGTACGTGAGAAAACCTGAAGAAATTTGTGTGGTGAAGAGAGAGTTCAGTCAAAATGAGTAAGATTTATCATGTCACAACCGTGAATAACAGGGATGTTAGGCGAGATCCATTAAACCACAAATATTGGACAAAATCCTGTCGACGTTGGGCCGGACTTCCTTTTTTTCTTGGCCATGGACCATATTTACTCCCTAGGTTAGCTCAATCAAACCAATAGAGTAATTTCTATATATTAAAATTCATACTTGGCTCCGAGGCCTGAGGGAATAAAACAAAATAAATGCATTATTCATTGCTGAGCCTCAGGATTATTTCTTTTGTTTTATTCCCTCAAGCCTCGCAGCCAAGTAGGAATTTTCAATGTATCAAAATTGGTCTATTCGTTTAGTTTTGAACCGAAATTTCCGGAAATTTTAGCGCTGGAATCGGGAATGATCAAATGGAACGGCAGGATCGGTTCAACCGATTTAAACGGTCCAATTTTAAAAGTTTGTCTTTTTTCCCCGAAAATGTTCTATTTTTTCTCTGCCAATTTTGACCTCAAATTTTGTCTTTTGCAGATGTCTGGTTTGGAAGCCGCAGTAATCCAA